CAAAGGTTCAAGATCAATTAATAAGGGCGTAAAAAAGGATAAATTAGTAAACATAATATAAACTCTAAAATCTAAATCAAAAATTAATTTTTAAGAAAAATCATACACCTATATATATTTAAAAATACATGTATTTATAATTTGATTATTTTTAATAACCTTAAAGGAGAAGATATTGATTATGTTGATGTCTACTTTGAAAGCAATGAGAAATTTGAAATCTTACGAAAAATTGAACTAAAAATACGCTTTTTCCCCTATTGGGGTTGCATTAGAACTATGAATTTTTGCAAAGTGTTTATATAACTATTTAGATTTAAGAGTTAATTACCCATTAGTTTTAAAGAATATGAAACTTTGGTTTGAGATAATTTTAGGGTCTAGTGTTCCCTATTGATTCATAAAGCAATATCAAGAATTGAATCGAAAATTCGATTCTAAAGGAATTGAAGCCAAATCAGTCGGTTTCGATTTGGTTCCACTGATTCTCGAAATAAATGCCACACCGATCCTCAAGTCTACAAATAATAAGATTAAGTTATGAGTTTAACATTCGACTAATGTTTATAAACAACCAAATCTCTTTTAATTTATACATTTCGTGGAATCCACTAGTTTCTTTCACTAGTTGAAGGTGAAAGTATGATAACTTCTTGGTTCTGGATGGATACACAGTTGGATGCAATGACTGCACGTTCAGGAGTTTCTATGCTAGATTTAGGGTTTTGTTTGAATTGAATGCTGTTTGAGATAAATTTTGGGCGAAAATCACGGGATTCATGGTTGATTAGAAAACTTTAAGAATGATAAACACAGAAACTGAAACTATCCTAAAATTGTGCTAAATTTTAACGGAATAAAGTTATTCATAGTGAAGACCAACGATAGTCGTCCTGCATCAAATATCAAATTGTCACATATATGCTATGTAGGCCGTACACCAATAGTCTTCACTATGAATAATATTATGTGCTTGAAATCGACTCCTAGAGTTAATGAGCTCTCATAGATACCCATCTTACCAGAAACTACACATTTAGGAGCTCACATTCAACTAAGAGGAGATCTTAGAATTGACTATACGAAGATTGGGGAAGCTTTATAGAGGATGAGTTCCTACAACTTAGAGACATTTTGAGAACAAACTCCTTTCACATCTAATGACTTGGAGCTTGTCCTGCTAATGAGGCTCAAAACGTTGTTGATCAATCCTTCAAGTTGAAATAAGATTCAGAGATACATAATAAATTATCAAAATCGCGTGAAGTAAGCAATAAGAAGCAGTGTTTGAGAGCATGATCAATGTCACGTTAGAGGTAAAAGGAATGAAATTCTGACCACATCTCAGGTTTCCAGTTTAAATTGGATGAAACCTAAAACAAGGCACGCGTTTCTTAGTTAAAAAAGAAAAAAGGAAAAAAAAGTTTATTCGCGTTTAGATAAAAAAACACGAGTTCATCAAACAAAACACCTCAATTCTATACCTAAATCTACATATTCAGCTTTCACAATGCCTCCTGCATCTGAAGTTCAAAGTTATCCAAGAAAGCAGGTAGTTATTTAGCTGCATTTTATTTAGCCATGTTCCTCCATTTATCCTTAAGATCAGCTGGTGTACGAGTTCCGTGAAACACATGACGACCAAATTCCAAGACCTTCCTCCAAGGAATATTTTTGTTTGCCTGGGATGAGAATTTCTCCACTCCTTCCTATGAACACAAAAAATAAAGTTCAACACCAAAGAAATATATAACTACTCATTTGACATTACGGTGTAATAGGCCATAAGCCTTCGACAGAAACTGATACTTGAGAAACGTGTTACATGTCCTGATTAAAGAACTTTTGGTCAAGTGTACTGCATGCCATAAAGCATCTAATGAATGACAGCAGAATATGTCAATTATCAAGCATGATATAAAGAGAGAACAGAATGTAAGCTATAACCCATGCAAGACATTTTTTCCTTGGACCTTCAGCGAGAGGTGTCTTTTCAATTTATAAGCTGAGAGCACTCGCATGGCAAGCAATGAAGATTTAGGTTTTCAATCAATAGAAAAAACAATTGAAATAGTCCAATACCTTAGCCAAGAATTTTACATATTAAAAAGTCAAAATGGAAGTAAAATTATAGACGATACAAATGGAATATAAGCGAGTCAAGTCCACAAACTTGTACCTGAAGCATTTCCTGCTCTTCCTCCGTCCATAGCAATTTCTTGCGTCTGTCGTTGCGAAAAGGATCTTTAGGACTGCATAGCATGGAAGTCAAACGTTCAAACTCACCCATAATGAAACCTATTTATATGCATGGACTTAAGAATATTCTTGAGCAGATTAATTTACTCACGATTTGGCTGAGGGCAGTTCAAGGAGTCTCGAGCAGCTGGAGACATTAATGTTCCCATTTTTCACTGTGTTGAATCCCAGATCAGAAGATGACCTCCGAGATGATCTCCTTGGAAAATCAATACCTGGAGACTTTTTTTTATTCATCTCACTTCGTTTGACATCTTTACTTCGTGTTGAAATAACCTCAGAATCTCTGCATATTAACTTAATAGTTTCTACTCCTCTCTTCGATTTTGAACGCGCCCATACTAAGGGGACCTCATCAGTGGATGCTGCAGAAGTTTCCTGTTCCTCGTCCTGCATCTTTTCTTCTTCTGCACTGCTGATTCTCTGTTCTTCTTGC